CTCTCTCTCTCTCTCCCTCTCTCTCAAATTCAGAAGAGTGCTGAACACGACTTTGTTTAGTTCAATATACCTATACATGCATGTGGTTCAATATTCGTCTATATGTCTATACGTACTTGTGTTCATGTTTTAGATAGGTAAACGATCCATCATAAAATTGACACAATCATGACGATATCGACGACGACTCACGGCAAATTATTTCTGCTAATTAGGATAGGTCAATCGTTAATTATATAAATGAAAAAATAAAAATAAACAAATAAATAAATTACGCAGTCCATATAAATTCAGCGGTATATGTAGATGTCTTATAAATACTGGGTCGGGTTTGTGTTAGGACGGGCGGACGGACGGGGAGGCGGCCGTTGGGGGGGGGGGTGGGGGTGCCGCGCTTCGACCTCGTGGGTTTACTCCGGGTACTCCCGTTTCCTCCCACAGGAATGACCTCTGCGCGTGCGCTACGATAATAAAAATGCAAAATATCATTTGTCTGCGATATCACCTTCGGTGGAGGCGTACGTTAAACACTAAGAACAACAACAATGTTAGAACATGAAGTTATAATTCTCTGGTACGCGTGTATGTGTCTAGTCTAACTGTCTGTGTATAAATCTTGGTTTAGGCCTTTTGTCAGCGATATCAGCCTCGATGGAAGCTGACGTTAGACCCATATTAATATCTGAGCAGGGTTCTGATTTCCTAGTATATTGTACATTGTATATTTGTGGCTAGAATGTAATAAATTAACCCTATTAAATATATTACGGGAATAGAAACAGCCTCATCATACCTACGTTTAGTAGTTAGTATCGTGATACATGATGTTTCTATTTATGATATTTGCATTTCTCATAAAGATAAAACAAGTGGGATTGTTAGGACATGTTTAGTTTTAGTATAGTCATTGTCATAATTTCTGGGAATATATTCACAAGCGTTAATAATAGACCTGGTATAAGAACAGATCCTTGTGACAAACCCGCTATATTTCCACTTATCTTCCTTGTATCTCTGTGTTATCTTTAATTAATAGAAATGGACTTAAACAGGAACCTTTTCTTTTCATTAGTTATAACTTTTGCGTGCTGTCTATGAAAGCAGGATATAAAAGTAACAGGCGATGTTAAAATTTTAATTTGTTTCCTCGATTAGAAATTAAACTAAAAGCGGGAATTTGAGGCTAGCATAAATATATGGGTACAGTTTATAAAGGGGTGGTTTGTTATTTGCGAAGGCGCGGAGTTGCCTTACAACCCTCATGGGTTAGGATCAAGTGAAATGAAATGGGGTCTAACGTCCTTAAGATCAAGTGTGTATCCTATAAAATGGTCATACATGTATAACAACATAGGTTTTATTATCATCGTATTGTATTGTAAAGTACTTACATATAAATAGCCCTATTAAAGTATTACCTACAAACATTTATAGTCTGTATACATCATCCATGTACAGTAATTAAATAATAAGACCAATTAATTAATAAAGGCTATTAAACTGAACAGTTAAACACGTGCCATAAACTTAGCAACCTGTAAAACACACTGAAAGATACCGCCCTGTATACAAACTGTGTGATTTGATGATATATTGCCATACTTTTATTGGAAATAGTTTCTTGTGAATATATCATTAATTGACCGTCATATACACGATATGATTGTAATCCGCGGAGTTGCATTTACGTAAGACAACTTCAGATTGAAATCTAAGAGAAGTATTAAATGGTGCGGGAAAGGGGGGGGATGCGCTGTCTGGGTAAACCCTCCTCCCAACTTTATATTGCAGATGTAATTATAGAAGTAAAATACCATGTTAGTCACAACAAGTCTGTTGTTTTGGCAATATAAACACCTCACCCTATTGTGATGGTTTCATACACTACAACTAGTTAGTGCCGTTAAACTCCCTTCTCGATGGTACTACGAAATTAAAAATTTTCTGAGGAGCGATTCTGGACAGGAGAACACAGGGATTAATTTCTTCTCTGTAACCAATCTCTCGAAAACCCTTTTGTTAATCGAATGATTGTCTTTGAGTATTTAGAACAACTTTATTCAGATTAAACAGCGTCGTTTTTGTTTTAAAACAACTTTCTAGAACACTACTAGAATCCGATCCGATCAGTACTAGAACAGCACTGAAAGACCACTAGAGCACTACTAGAACACCACTAGAACACTACTAGAACACCACTACTAGAACACCACTAGAACACTACTAGAACACTACCAGAACACCACTAGAACACTACCAGAACACCACTCGAACACTACCAGAACACCACTAGAACACTAAAAGAAAACACCACTAGAACACCACCAGAAAATTTAGCTATAGGTAGTGACGTATCACGTGTGGGGCAGGATATGCTTACCCTTTCTATAACACCTGACACCACTAGATACCATCTAGGTCTAGGTTATAAATAGTATCGTACACGAGACAGAATATGCTTATTCTTTCTAAAACACCTTCTGCCACCCAATAACAAATGTTAGTGTAGAGCATCGTACACACGACAGGGTATGTTTACTTTCTAAAACACCTGACATCACTCGATATCATCTAGCCATGGGTAGTGATTAGTATCGTACACGAGGCAGGATACGCTTACTCTTTCTAGAACTCTGATATAACTTGTTAGTATCTAGCCCTATGTAGTGATGGGTATCGTACACGAGTTGTATTCATGTATTAATACAGATTACTAGCGACATGATCGTCAATAAATGAGTCACTAATGGTGTTGGCCGAAAGACTAATAACTTTATCATTTTATAAATAATTACTATACTTAATGACCTAATTATCTGATTGAATTATGCAATATTCTGGTTGCTTTCCAACTATTTCATCGTCAGTATATTAAATTCTTGGTTAGATGGTTATACGTGACAAGTGTAGGATCGCCTGCCCAACCTCGTGGGTTTTCACTGGTTTCTTCTCACTGTAAAGACCCGTATGCGTAAGTGAATTGTTGAAATAAAATTGAACCATATGTTAGTCCCCAAATTATCGTCTTTGCGGAGAGGGGGAGAGAGAGAGGGAGAGAGAGAGAGAGAGAGAGAAGGGCGGGTAACATCTATGAATCGTGTTTATGGATACAGAGATCAGTCGATGCAGAATAGATACAAGAGGATGTATTGACCTTTATCAATAAACCCTTGTTTTAAAGATGTTGTATAAATGTCGGGTGATATCGGTGTCGTTGGGTTGGCATCTTCGTCATGATGTCAATAAAATAACGAGTATCATTATCCTTCAATTAATTTACTGATTAATGAAAATACAGGCCATAAATTATATATGATGTAATACACCAGCATGTAACTTATGTTCTCAAATCCCAACAGGGTTTAATTAGGTGAAGAATGAAACCATACAGTTGAAAACCCTCTCAAGTTTCAGGTTTCTAATCTTCCAGACGAATGAGGGTGCCGATTCATCTCAGACGTCATATTACACCAAACGAGGGCCACTGAAACATGCTCCATTAATACAGATGTTTTTCTTTGATTTTGCTATAAATATCTCACTCAGGGGTTCAACATCAGTCAATATACAGCTAGAAATTATTTATTCTTATACATTTGCCTCCTTTAGAAAGATTTCACTACCTTATCACTTGTAAACCATTTCCCCACCCCACCCTCTATCACTATGACACACCACGACAATTTCGTGAACCATATAAATGAGCAAGACCTATACATGTAGCATTAGAGATTAAAACGGGCGTTACTCAACAACGTTTGTATTTGAACGAAACTATTCCTATAGGGGGGGGGTAATGATTTTTATCAGTTAAACTAAATGAAGCTTTTATGATTAGGTGGCTGGAGGTGTGTTTTTGTTAGAAGGACGATGTCACTATATGTACGATATTATTGTAAGATCATGGGGTTGATTTAGTGCTAACGTAAATCACCAACATTCTTCTATTACCAGCATTCATGTGCGTGTAAATATAGATTCACCACGTTACATATAGATAACAGTTTATACTATTCACCACGTTACATACATGTACGTGTAAATATAGATAATATGTTATAGTCACCTCCCCCCCCCTCACCACATAATGTTATCATGTGATGACTAAATATAGTGTTGATATGCCAACACCGGACCTATACTTATACTGTGACCTATAACCTATGACCTTTACTTACTTGACCTATCTATACACAAATACCAGGTTATATAAATAGTTTTATTTACACAACATCTACTAACCCTATTCCACATCTACAGCACAAACCAATACGAATATTTTAGTTACAGTGCGCGTGCACCACCGGAAATAAATTTTTTTACCTCGAGGCGAATGCGTAATAATATAGATATTGCAACACTGACTGTAAAAAACACAAACACAACAACAGACAGTTCAAAATGTCAAAGACAATGTCACACCATCCACAGCGACATAAATACATACAATGACACCTAGGGAACCAATATGCAAAATGGCCCACCTGTTCCAACAATCGTTAGGAACCAACCCTTTGCTTTTTCACTGACTGATTGCGAAATTGAAAAAGGCACTTAATATTTTAGAAAGACAGGCGTGCGGGATCTGCAAACACTCTCCACCGCACGCGACTTAATCCACCACCGTTTGAACGAACCAGGTTGCTGCCACGTCATCAGACTATCCTTAGATTTGTGCTGCTTTATTTAAAAATAGTCTTAAGGCCTATTGTACACTGACAGGGAACAGTGTCCAGTCGTTCGGATGGTACGGAAAACTGAGGCCCATGTACGCGTACACGTAAAATAAACGTTGACAGGTAGAATTCAATTACTGTACGTGCAAAATTTTCCCCATAGTACACCGTATGGCGTATACCCGTCTTCAATATTAGCCCGGTCAGTGCAGAAAAGTAGGACGTCAAACACCATTTCATTTATTCTTGTTGTTTATATTTTAAGGATCTATAGTCTGTTGGTTGTTTATATTGTGTACAGCATTTTATTAATTATAATTTCAGGTTATTAGTGGGTGCCCCCAAAGGTATTACGTCACAACCGGGTGTGAACAGGGCCGGTTCTGTATTTAGATGTAGGACAGATCGAATAGATTACTGCCAAGAAATACCCTTCGATTCTAAAGGTAAGAAATACCCTTTTATTCTAAAGGTAGGAAATACCCTTTGATTCTAAAGGTAAGAAATATCCTTTTATTCTAAAGGTAGGAAATACCCCTCGATTCTAAAGGTAAGAAATACCCTTTGATTCTAAAGGTATAAAATACCCTTCGATTCTAAAGGTAAGAAATACCCTTTGATTCTAAAGGTAAGAAATACCCTTCGATTCTAAAGGTAAGAAATACCCCTCGATTCTAGAGATAAGAAATACCTTTCGATTCTAGAGATAAAAAAAAATACCCTTCGATTCTAGAGATAATAAATAACATTCGATTCTAGAGATAAAAAATATCCTTCGATTCTAAAGGTAAGAAATACCCCTCGATTCTAGAGATAAGAAATACCTTTCGATTCTAGAGATAAAAAAAAATACCCTTCGATTCTAGAGATAATAAATAACATTCGATTCTAGAGATAAAAAATATCCCTCGATTCTAAAAGTAGAAAATAGAGGTCGCCATATTTGTTAAATGTAATATAATTAAAGTGATTTTTAGCCTTCTGTAGATTTAGTAGATAAAAATAAAGATAGGGAGACAAAGAGACTTCGAGAAGAGGCCTATTTCCATTTAAATGACTTTTACAGTTTATAAAACTGATTTAGGCGTCTGTCCTGATTAATCTTTTAAGTACCTCTTAGTCAGCGTTGTGGAATACGGATGGAACACAGGCACTTGAAGGGATTAAAATAAAATTTCTAACTGTATGACAGAGAAAAATGTATGACTCTCCAATATCCTAGAGAAAAAGATTAAAATTCCATTTATGCGAATCCCGAATTACGTAACGTTATGCGGAAAATGAACCATTTGTCGCATTGGCTTATATTTTACCTATCCCTAATATTTTGAATGCATTTAGATTGTTTGTCAATGTATTAAGAATATCTTTATCATGATAAAAACCACAAATTATTTCCCCTCGTAAAACATTTTATCTCAGCCGGAGATTATTTGATAGTTCTGTAAATAAAACGTAAGGAGCTTCAAGCACCCCAATTGGTTATTACAATATAAATTTGTCTAAGTCATTTCTGTAATCCCCTAGTAATGGTTATTTATCTGAGGTGATAAAAAATTTAGTCAATCCCTCAAAACGTCTCGGAAGTTGCTTGTCTGCGATCATCCTGGCTGGAAGCGTACGCCGAGTCCTACAAACCAATCATCAAGATACAGATACGTTCGTTGGGGCGATAAGGCTTTGTCATTTGAATATGATCGGACTCAAATTAAGCTTGTATAGGACCCCTGGCTGAAAATATTACAGGGGCCCTAGCTTGTATCAACAGTGGCAAGAGAGCAAAATATTCCGATCATTGTCCGTCACACTTACGCAATTTATGTCAGTAGGCCTATGGTAGATAGTTTATTTGGCACAAACATATACAACATAAAAAATGAAAAATTTATTAATAGTTCAAACATTTTGTGGAACTAATTTCGGAGCTCCTGGTTGCAGCCCACTCAGCCACCCCTTTAATCCGGTGTCTGAATATAGATAGGCTACTATTCGGCCAATTATCAAACACGACACGATTATGTTCAAGCCACTGCAGCACACCTGTAACAGGGTTCAATTCAATTCGGTACGTTACAGACTGGCGATCAAAATGGTTCCACTTCTGAAGCTTTCCACCATCTTGCCTCCAGCAACAAGACGACACAATACTACAGCTATCCAGACACTACCTCCATTTAAAAGTTGTTAATATTTTCCACTCATATATAACCTATTAATCGTGTTGGAGGGAACACAAGGTCTATAATTTAGTATATAAAGTCATGTGACACTAAATCCTATAAACATCATCCAACCACCTGTATTTACAAACAGTTTTTGACGAAGTTTGTCTTTCGTCATTTGTCAAGTTCAAGGTCATCTCTGATCACCTTTGACAGCATCGTGAGCTTACCGTTATTAGTAGTAGGATGATCCCGGCAGCTTCTAGCGGGTAATTATACAAGATTAAACGTACTTTCTCCTGTAACACAATAAACAACAACAACTGTATAATCACAGAAATCAATCTGCACACATTCAGCACATTTTAAAATAAGAATTAAAGTACCGGTAGATCATGGTTGCCAGTAGTTACTCTAGTAACGTAATAATGTATCGGCTCTGAATAGCAAGGAGAGCCGATACATTATTACGTTACTAGAGTAACTAGGTTGCCAGACTCCATTGAATTTAGGGTTGGCTATAGAATGATAAATGAAATGGGGTTTAACGTCCTACTGTTCTGCTCCTAAACTGGGCTAATGAAGACTGGCATACACCATACAGTGTGCTATGAGGGAAATTTTGCCCGGGCATCGACACTACGGCCTACTCTTATATCGAATTCCAACTGCCAAGGGATCTTTTACGTGCACACCAATATGTATATGGGACCTTGGTTTTTTCGTCCCATCCAAACGACTAGACAGCTGTCCTTGTCAGGTCCTCCGTCCTGCATCACTGAACTTTCTCGGCCAATGCAGGGATTGAACACCCGACCTCCAGGCTAGCGAGGGTTGGCTATAGAAGAGTCCGGTGCTGAGTGTTGAATTACCAGGGGATCTGACCCTTGTTCCAAAAATTATAAACCTCCTACTTGACCGTTAATTTTAATGTTTTTGAAGATATTATTTTGGTGGTGCCCAAAATCTTGGGGCCCAGTGCAGCTGTTGGCACTGCTTTATGTGTACAATATGGTGGACTAAAACTTGACAAATTAGATATTGTTTAAAAAATGCAAACGATCATCAAGTTTAGGTATTTTGTATAATTATACATTTAGATATTTGAATAATTATAGGTATTTTGTATAATGATAAGTATTTTGTATAATGATAGGTATTTTGTATAATGATAGGTATTTTGTATAATGATACATATTTTGTATAATTATAGTATCATAGGTATTTTATGATAAGTATTTTGTATAATGATAAGTATTTCGTATAGTGATAAGTATTTCGTATAATTATAGTAGTACATGTATAGATGTTTTGTATAATGATAAGTATTTTGTATAATGATAAGTATTTTGTATAATGATAAGTATTTTGTATAATTATAGGTAATAATATACGATGGGATGGGAGTAAATACGTAGATATAGAAGATAAATCAGATCAGTGGTTCGGCGCCACCGTACAAAGTTCAGGAGAAAATGGTGTCATTGTGGTAAGTGGGAACCATCTTTCTTTTATTCAATTTCAGGAGTACAGGCGTCATGGATTCGCTAAAGGAGGGCACAAATATTATAGATCCATGACGCAAAGACTATCATTGCATCCCCATCACGTAGCCCCTTCCATAAACACTGGACGTTAAGAAAATCTTGTGAATAAACAGATAAATAAAGCACTGATGTATTTGACATAGGAGATTTCAAATTACCCTAAAGATATGGAAGACTCTATTTATAAGATTGAAAATGTTTTGAAATTTGAAATCTGTTTCATTATGGCAATATGCATCCTCCTCACAGTGTTTCGTTTGATTAGACCTAATCCAACTTAACACTGTTTTAATAGAAGCAAATTTCTGTTCCAAATTATGACTGGTCACTAATCTGATTAACAACCAATAGCTATCTGCGTAACAATATCATTACGCTTTAAACAGAGCTCACAATTGGACCAAATATGTTTACATAATGTTACGTCATGGCTCACGATTTTATCATGCTCAACTAACCAGTGCATAGCAGAATATTGCAGAAAAACTAATTGCGTGACAAACAAGCCTATCAAAACGGATGCAATGTAAACCATACTGTTTAAAGACAAACAATACTTTCACTGTTTTTAATACCTTAAATCACTGTCCAAAGTTTTAGGGAAGACCCTAGATTAAACGAAGGGCTGTCATGATGCTGTACTTGGGATAGGTTTGATTGACGGGAAGAATAGACACACTCCCTCAAAAGCTCAAGTATCAGAAGCCAATCTAGCCATGACCAGAGAGGGATTTTGTGGGCCATTGCTTCAGGAATATGGGCAATATGTGAACTTGTTGCGTCTTATATCGAGTCAGTATTAGAACAAAGAACAAAATGAGAAACCCAGATTCATGATAAAAATATAAAACCACAGTGTTATTTGTAGAAATACTTGAATCTCCAGTCTGTTAGCTTTCAGTACAAATACATTTCCTGTTTCACTTGCCACTTATAATATATTTTCTTCAGACTATAGAAAACAGGCCAGTTTTACTTTACCATAGTCGTATCCTGAAGACTTATAATAAACTAGAGGTGGCATTTTAAATATATTGTCTTACCATGTATATATACCATTGTTAGACCAATGACTATGAACTGAGATGAGGATATCTATTTTAATCATGGAAACATATAAAGTCTGGCCCTGAGATCACAAAGCATTCTCAGACTTAAGTTAAGAATTTAATCACTGTTTATGAGAAATATCTTTGATCCAGAAACACAAAACTTTGCACATATTTTCTTATTAATGTATTTGATACATTAAAACAACAAAAGTTTTATGTGGGGCTATAGTTTAGTTAAAATCAAACGGAACAATTTTGAGTAAATTTTTAACTTAAGTCTGAGAATGCTTTGTGATCTCGGGGCCAGGTCAACACAATACTTGGGTCATTTTGAGACTAACATGTGTATTTTTTTTAGGGTCCCATGTGAAATGCCAGGGAGGAGGAGGGATGTTTCCACTCTTCCTTCTATCTGTAAAACCTCCTCTCGACCTCCACCCATCCTCTGTCTAGCTTTAATCTATGTTTGTTAGAAAAGTGGATCTGCACTCTCTCTGCTGCGTTTTTGTATCTGCTTGGAAAGTTGGTGCAGAAAAGTAGGATGTTAAACCCCATTTCATTTCACGTGTAACTTGTTCGTACTGTTTCTACTATTGTCTTGTATCATTAGGGAAGTTAAGACATTAAAGCCCATTTCATTTATCTTCATATGGAAAGTTCATCTGTTCATGTATTGTTTGTTTTATCTGTGGTTTCTCCTGCAGTTTTCCTGTATTTTCTATGGGTAGTGACTACTGATGGATGTATGTTGTAACATACATTTAAGGGTCTATGAAACAAAACAATATCTGATAAAGCAGACATATCCTTCCTCTTGCTACATATGGCGGTGATTGGTCTGGTATTGTAGGGTGTAACATAAAAAACATGGCAGTCTCATTTGATGGACTTTAGGCGCGGTCGGTCGTATACATATACGATATCACAATTCAACGAGCTCACCCAATATTTCATAAACATATTACTCCCTTTTGTACTTCAACAAAAATAAACTCCTTGAAAAATTACAAAAAAGATTTAAAAAGACAATGAAGTAGAATTGAAGTCATTGGTTGAGTTATTAGATTAGAGTCGAATAAGTATTAAGAAAGACTCCTTGATTAATTAAAGCTTTGGGCTTCATATTTCCCCTTGTACCTTTTATCAAATGTCAACTAACTATAAACACAAACAGATTATATAATAGAAACATGATTTTTCTCTTAAAAGGTGACATTGAGTGGGGTTTTCTTCCATTGTTAAAACCCCTTACATTCACACGCAAATTATTGAAATAAAAATATACTATAATTAGTGCTGAAATGTCTTGCTTTGTGTTGAGTGGATGTTTAAACCCCATTTTTCTCTCTCTTTCCTCCCTAAAACAAAACAATCATTGTTTTCAAGTCAAAGTTTCGTGTGTGGGAGGAGATAAGACTCCTTAAACTATGGATGGATTTTAAGAGTGCTACACCACACTATAAAAAGACACTATTTAAACAAGTTATCAAATCACACAGACAATGTCCCCGATTTCACAAGATACTGTAAATAAAAGTTGTTGAACTATGCAGTAATCAAATGGCAAATGTGACAAAATAGTCTATTTACCTTGTGTGAAAATTTTGAATAAGATATATCTGCGATTTCCCCTTTAATTGAGCAAGAATTGTGGGTGGAATATATTGGGGGTTTTCCCCTTTAATTGAGTAAGAATTGTTGGTGGAATATATATGGGATGTAAAATCATGTAACCATTTAATTCAGTAAGAAGGATGGATGGGATATATCTGGTATATCTCCGTTAATTGAGTAAGAAGTCTGGGTGGAATTGTAAATATCTTTGAATTTTGAGTATAAAAATGCATCCATAATTTAGTTTTTATACAGAAATGTTGTTGCTGGTCTTGGTTATATTTGAGATGTATTCTCTAGAAACTGTGATTAATGAACATGTAGGACTAGCAAGAGAAAATGATGAACTATTCTTCTTTAAATCAGATTGATTCATGAGATGAAGAGAAGAAAATTATATCCTGTAGATACTTATATACCAGATCGATATGTATGGCTAAAAAATAGGAAAATGAGGTTTAATGTCCACTAAACACAAACTAGGTGATTTTGGATCTAAAATATGATTCAATTTTATTTCAATAATTTGCTTGCGCATAGGGGTCTTTAGCAGTGGGAAGAAACTATAGGACCCGGAGAAAACCCTACTCCTTGTCACATACAAGCGGGGAACGGAAACCATGCAATAATAGACCTAACTATCAAACTGCAAACGCATTAAACCAATCGGCCCCCAACCCCCCTGAGAATGACCTTAAATGAAATAAAATGAAATGGGGTTTAACATCCTACCCTTCTGCCTCGACTGGGCTAATACGCCATACAGTGTGCTATGAGGGAAATTTTGCCCGGGCAGCGGCACTATGACCTACACTTATATCGAATTCCAACTGCCTTGTTGTCATGCGGATGGGATGAAAAACCAAGAATGACCTTAAAGTGTAGTATGTTGAAATAATGCCTTTAAGTGTAGTATATTGAAAGAATGACCTTGATAGACTTTAAGAATAGTATATGTAAAGAATCTTCACAATTAATCCCTTGTATTAAATTTAAAAAAAAAAGTAGTTTACATGTAAGTACTACAATTAACCCTTTAGCTTTTGGACCACCTGAAACTAGTGATCATTAAAACTCCTGAATCCACAGAACTCATGATGGTTTGAGACAGTCTAGGGACCATTAGTTTCGGATATATCAGTATCAAATATATAACTCTTCTCTAATATTTTTTTTGACTAAAGGGTTTACAGTTAACCCTAAATATCAGGATGAGTACAAAATTGTTAGTTATTTTAAACAACTCAGAAACTTGTAGCCAGTATAAAAACTGGTTTTATGTTAATAAAAAAAGTGGACCTTTACCACTTGACACATGTATAGCTACCAGTGAACCTTCATTTAAACTTCTCCTATCAAGTTTTACATGTTTTGGGCGTTGATTTATTTAGAAGGAATATTTATGATAGAAATCTGTGTGCCGTGTGTATGTATGTAATTCCCATGTCAATAAGATTGTCTGTGTTTGAGAGAAACAGTCGTAACAGTAATTTACTTGAGTGGATTAGTTTACTAGTTTTTATATAAAGTTGCAACGTTCTCTGTTACATGACAAATTCTTTATATACTGCAGACAACATCAACGTGTTTATTTGAGTTAATGAAATGAAAGTTATTGGACGCCTTATCAATGTTTTTCTTGGATCCTTTTGAGGAATCTTGTTGACTGAGAGTTGCGTGATAGTTGTGAGTTAAGGCAAGTGATTGTCAACTAGATTGTCCTGGGACCGGTGAATTAATTAAATACAGATTTATCATTGGTGGTTGGGGGGGAGGGGCTGTAGTCCAGTGATAAAGTCTCAGGGGTACATGGTGCTCATGCGGGGCTGGGGGTTTGGATGGCCGAATGGTTAACGAGTGGCATGGTTTTGATTCCCCGCTTGGACATGACAAGGAGTAGGGTGGCCTGTCTCACCTTGTTGGTTTTCTCCTGGTACCCTGCTTTCCTCCCACTGCTTATTTAAAAACCCCTACACGCAAGTAAATTATTGAAATTAATAATTGAACCATGTTGGTCCCAAAATGGTCTAGTCAAATGGACGTTAGACCATCTCTCTCTCTCTCTCTCTCTCTCTCTCTCTCTCTTTCATGCAGGGCTGACAAGGAAAGTGTTGCCCTAGGCATTCGGATGAAACGATAAAAAAAAATCACCATTGGACACATTGGTGTGCAAGTGAAGGAACCCTAGACAGTTGTAATTCAATGAATAGTAGGTGGGAATACTGTGGTCGAGGCAAAATTGTCCTTCCTAGCAAATGTCACAGAACAAAACTTGT